TATTATTAAGTATTAATCTTCCAGAGTTTCATAATGTGTGTTACAATTAATCCTCTAAAGTTTGCTGTCTAAAGTTTGTTACATAAATGCTTTTGTGTGGGGTGGGGCCTGTGTGCCACTGCTGGGTCCTATGGAGGCCATCTTACACAATCACCACTCATTTCACAGCCTCCAGTTATTGATAATTTCATAATGTGTGTTACAATTAATCCTCTAAAGTTTGCTGTCTAAAGTTTGTTACATAAATGCTTTTGTGTGGGGTGGGGCCTGTGTGCCACTGCTGGGTCCTATGGAGGCCATCTTACACAATCACCACTCATTTCACAGCCTCCAGTTATTGTCTGTTTCTAATTTTTACACTGCGGTCACCAAAGAGAACAATTTTCTTTAAAACAGCCATTTATATGCAAGAGCCCTGTTCCGAGATGCACTCTTTTGATAACATTCAGCCTAGCTGAGGAATCTTTAACTTAAATTTACATACTTAATATCCAGAACTGAAGCGCAGGAGTGTTTTAATAAGATACCGCGGCCCAGCTAGGAAGGCGTAGGCTGGCAAAGAAACACCGGGCAGTCTTCCCTCACAGGAGGCTCTCAGAGTCCCGGCAGCTTCAGCGGAAGATCAGCGCAAGATCGCCGTTGCTTCGGGGGAGAGGGACGGCATGATTTGCATACAGCTATAAAACCATTAGAGCCGCCTAATTTAATCCGCAGATGAACCAATGGAAGTGGCAGTTGATTGATCAGCCTGGGTTGTTTTTGGCACGGGTGACTTATTTGTGCATGTAACTGAGTCAGAGCATCCATCCCGCTTCCTCAGGAGTCTGACTGGCAGCAGATCTCTAGGGTCACGAGAAGGAAAAGGTCTTTCCATCCTGAGACTTGGCGAGATCTCTTTACGGGAGATGCTCGGGACTGAGCCTGGGGCACTCCTGCATGGCAAATAGTATTTCCTGCCACTGAATCACAATCACTTTGGTCCAGGGGATTCTACATTCCAACATGCTTCACTAGACCATGGCATCTTTCTTTGAGCCAGTTTGGGGTAGTGGTTAAGGGCACGGACTCTAATCTGGGAGAACCGGGTTTGATTCCCCACTCTTCCACTTGCATCTGTTGGATGACCTTGGGCAAGCCATAGTTTTGCCAGAGCTGTTCTTGAAAGAGCAGTTTCTGTCAGAGGTCTCTCAGCCCCGCCTACCTACAAAAGGGAATTAGATAAGCATATGGAGCAGAGGTCCATCAGTGGCTATTAGCCACAAGGTATAGATAGGGACTCTGGGGCAAGTGATGCTCTGTCATCTTGGTGCTTGGGGGGGTCAACAGTGGGAGGGCTTCTAATGTCCTGGACCCACTGCTGGACCTCCTGATGGCACCGGTATTTCTGGCCACTGTGTGATACAGAGTGTTGGACTGGATGGGCCTTTGGCCTGATCCAACATTGGCATCTCTTATGTTCTTATGTACCTCACAGGGTACCTGTTGTGGGGAGGGGAAGGGAAAGGAGGCTGTAAGCCCCTCTGAGACTCTGAGTGAGGGGTGGGGTATAAATCCATTCTCCTCCTCGCCCTCCTCTTCCTCTTCTTCTTCCTCTTCTTCTTTTCTTTGCACCAGGCAAAAAAAAGAGAACATAATTCCTGCAAAATGCCTCCCATCACTTAAGGCAGCAACCCAAGCAGAGAGCCAGGGTCAGCCTGTGGCCTAGATCCTGACACGGGGCTCACCAGGAGACCATGGCCCAGTCACTTTTCCTCAGCCAAACCTACCTTTCAGAGTTATTGTGATGATAAAATAGAGAAGAGATACTACCCTGGAAAAGTGACGGTTTGAAAGTATACCGACTATCTCCATACAGAATGTTTGTTTGTTTGTTTATGTCCTGCCTTCCTTGTCGGGGACTGAAAGCAGCTTACATTGTTCTCCTCTTCTCTGTATTCTCTTCACAACAACCTTGTGAGGTAGGTTAGGCTGCAAGTGTGTGACTGGCCCAAGGTCACCCAGCAAGCATGGAGGCCGAGTAGGGATTCGAACATGCGTCTCCCAGATCCTAGTTCGACACTTTAACCACTACACCACGCTGGCTCTCAGTGGAACGTGTTTGTTTCGGGGGGGAGGGTTTTATTAACATACTATTTATTAAAATACGTAATATCCCGACTTCTTGGGAAAGATACCCAAGGTGGCCCACAATGTTTTAAAATCCACTATACAGAATGTTTAAAAACTAGCATAAGATATTTTAATATTAATACATATAATTAAAGTGCCAACATGATTGAAGCTGTGCAGCTCAGACTTCTGGAAACTGTCTCGGAAACTGAATTGCCCCTGCCTGCTGTCGGAAAGCCAATTAAATGGAGCAGAGGAAACCCCTTCTGGAATAGAGGCCCAAAGGAGTCTGCTGAATAATAGGAAACAAGAGGAAAAACACATGGTAGTTTTTCATCTCAAATTGGAAGACATTTTTAAACAACACCTGTACTATGTATTGATTATATTTTTATCCCAGCATTCCTTGTGACTCAGGGCAGCTTACATGATTTCCCCTGTTTTGTCCTCATGATAACTCTTCACAGAAGGTTAGGCGGAGAATGAGTTATGGGGTCTTAGCCCGTCCAGTGAACTCCGCTGTGGAGCAAGAATTTGAACCCAGACCCTTACAGGCACTCCAAATGTTACACCCAATTGGCTCTGGGTGAGTTTTCGGTAATGTGTACATTTATTTAAATATAATTGCCCAAAACTAAAATGAATATTCAAGTACAATATTTTCACTTGAAGTCTCATGAGAACATAAGAGAAGCTAATGTTGGATCAGGCCAGTGGCCCATCCAGTCCAACTCTGTCACACAGTGGCCAAAAATACCAGGTGCCCTCAGGAGGTCCATCAGTGGGGCCAGGACACAAGAAGCCCTCCCACTGTTGGCCCCTCCAAGCACCAAGAATACAGAGCATCCCTTGCCCCAAACTGAGAGTTCCTCTCTGTACCTTGTGGCTAATAGCCAGTTTGGTGTAGTGGTTAAGTGCGCGGACTCTAATCTGGGAGAACCGGGTTTGATTCCCCACTCCTCCACTTGCACCTGGCTGGATGACCTTGGGCAAGCCATAGTTCTGGCCCAGCTGTTCTTGAAAAAGAGCAGTTTCTGTCAGAGCTCTCTCAGCCCCGCCTACCACACAGGGTGTCTGTTGTGTGGAGGGGAAAGGAAAGGAGTTTGTAAGCCACTCTGAGTCTCCTCTGGGTAGTGAAGAGCGGGGTATAAATCCAATCTCTTCTCTCTTCTTCTTCTGATGGACCTCTGCTCCAGATGTTTATCCAATTCCCTCTTGAAGCCGTCCATGCTTGTAGCCGCCACCCCTTCCTGTGGCAGTGAATTCCATGTGTTAATCACTCTTTGGGTGAAGAAGTACTTCCTTTTATCTGTTCTAAGTCTCAGAGCAGCTTACAATCGCCTTTCCCTTCCTCTCCCCACAACAGACATCCTGTGAGGTCAGTGGGGCTGAGAGAGCTCTGAGAGAACTGTGACTGACCAAGGTCGCCCAGCTGGCTTCATGTGGAGGTGAAGTGGGGAATCAAACCTGGTTCTTAACCACTACGCCATTTGCCAGGATTCAAATCTGCAGTCTTTTAGGCCGCTCTCTGTGCTTTTGAAGGAGGAACAGAGTGCACAACAGAGTCAGTGAAGCCCATTGCCACCCCTGGTGATAACAACGTGCCTATGAGGCAGGAGAACAATTCATACAATTCAGACTTCCATTGCCAAGTCCGTCTGTTGGCTTTGGCAGAGGGCGCCCATGCCCAGGAGAGCCACAATGACCGCCAAACTCAGAGACCCGGTTTCACACTTGTCTGTGTTGCCTGAACTCACCGGAAGGATTTTGTTTACCAAGAACAAGGTGACACCGTCTGCCAGTGCAGTTCTAATCCTCCTCCACCTTTCATTCATATCAGTCCCTCGGGCTTGCCAGTTTTCGAGGGGGGGGGTCCTTCACGGTCCTCTCCCTCCTCCAGCATCCTTCTGCCGGCGGGAGTCTCATTGGCCTGCCAGAGCGCTCTACACTGTGCGTCACTTTGCACTGCTCTGGGAGGGCTTTATAAAATGAGCCGCAGCCACCTTCTGAGAAAGAATCGGACCACAGAGCAGCACCCCCTCGTCCGAAGAACTCCCGTTCATCATGCAGCTGGTGGCCAGCCTCCTCGCCGTGCTCCTGCTGGTCTGGAGCGTGAGAGCATCGGCACTGCCAGGGGAGGACAAGCTATCGGCTCAGAGCAGTAGGGTGAGTCGGAAGGAATGACACGGCTTTGGGGGGTTGCTACGGAGGGCGGTGGGGTGTCCTCACCGGGTTGCAAGCATTCCGGCACTTCAGACATGGCGATGGAGTTGCTGACCGGTTAGGGGTCATGCACAAGGAGGGCTTTCTAAACAGAAAAGGGAAAGGTAAGGTTAAAGGGGCACAAATGCAGCGGGGCACAAGGGAGGAAAGGGACGGAGCTCTGAGCAAAGAGGAGAGAGAGAAGAGCAAAGAGGCAGCGAAGAGGGAGCTGGAGAAAGGAGAAGGAAGGACAGAAGGAAAAGGAAGGAAAGGAGGGATCGCTGGAGCTTGTGATGCACTGACAATGCGTGCCTGATTGTCCGTCTAGTCGCTTCCGACCTGTGAATTAAAGTCCTGTCATTAATGTGAGAAAGAAAGAGAAGGGGAAAGAGAGAAGGTGGGAAAGAGAAGAGGAAGGAACAAGGGAGAAAAGTTTTTTAAAAGAGAGAGAGCAAGAGAAGAAAAGGAAGATTTCTTATGTTTTCGAAGGCTTTCATGGCCGGAATTCATTAGCTGTTGTAGGTTTTCTGGGTTGTATGGCCGTGGTCTTGGCATTGCCAAGACCACGGCCATACAACCCGGAAAACCTACAGCAGCTAATGAAGATTTCTTAGTCTGGAAAGAACCCCTTTGACTCCCAATCTGCACAGCCGCTGGACCCGGCTGTTTTCTTCGGGATAGTCTGTGGTTCCGGCACATCCCTCGCATCTGAACTCTTGATCAGACAGTCTGAGAAGGAGTAAATTGTTGAGGCCATGGAGATCATTGGGGTGGGTTTTGTGAATCCTTGCAGCCACAGGAGTTGCTTCTCATCCCAGCTTTCTGGCATCTGATCTTGGAAACGATGAGTACTGTCGCATATCACTGTAGTGTAGCCAGAGTCAAGGTAGTCGTAGCCAGGTCTTTAAAAATCCACTTTTAGGCTACCATCCACAGGGTGGTTAACAACAGTAGTTCGGGTTGCTGTGTCCAGGCACATCACTTCCTCTTAGAGGCAGACAATGTGCAGAATCCTAACAGGAGCAGCTCTACTCTAAGGTGAAGATGCAGTGTTAAGGAAAACTGCTCCTGTTGGATTTTTGCCTGTTGTTGTAGGTTGCAAAGGCACAGGGATTTCAGCCCGTTCTAGTCATATTTGCAGAAACAGATTGAAGAAGAGAAGAAGAAGAGATTGGATTTATACCCCGCCCTTCACTTGGAGTCTCAGAGTGGCTTACAAACTCCTTTCCCTTCCCCTCCCCACAACAGGCACCCTGTGAGGTGGGTGGGGCTGAGGAGAGAACTCTGACACAAACTGCTCTTTCAGGAACAGCTGTGCCAGAGCTTGTGACTGACCCAAGGTCACATCAGCAGCTGCGAGTGGAGGAGTGGGGAATCAAACCCAGTTCTCCCAGATTACAGCCCGCGCACTTAACCACTACACCAAACCGGCTCTCTTGATTGAAATACAAATGGTTGCTTTGACTGGCTTAAAGGTGCCGACTAGATGTGTGTGGGGGTCCTGCCTCTTTAATGGAGGTTTAACAAGTGGAAATGGGCAACGGAGGCTCTTCACGACATGAAGGTTAAAGAGCATTGCTTTTTCATTGCTGCTGATCAAACTGATCTTATAGGGGGAGCCAGAGGGACCAGTTTAAAAGTTGGCAGTCCCCCTGCTATAACCCTTACCTACATCAAACTGCCTCTGTGGCTGTTTAGGGATAAATTACGTTCCTGTAGCTGAAGTTGCGGAACTCTAGAATCATGCTGTTTGGTTCTCCAACACTTGGAGGAGGTGGAACATGCTATCAAATCACAGCTGACCAGGGGCGGATGAAGGCTCACTCGTGCCCTAAGCACTGACCAATCTTGGTGGCCCTCCACTTTCCACACTGACCCAGTCCGTTTTAGTCGTTGACCTGTCTGACAATGCAGGTTGCAGCAATACAGAAATTTATTGATATGATAACACAATAGACTGTACAAACTAAGCTTTTCACCCTTTTCCCAACTTTGTGGTGCCCCCTTTGGCCCCGGTACCCTAAGCATGTGCTTCGTCTGCTTAATGGTTAATCTGCCCCTGCAGCTGACGTATGGGGTGACCCCAAAGGGGTTTTAAGGCGAGAGAGAAACAGAAGTGGCTCAGTAGCAATTATTTCTGGGTTTCCAAACTGTTAATAAAGGCAGAAAAGTTGGTCTACTGCAAAGAGCCCCTGGGGCAGACTGAATGGAGAGGGTACCTCAGAAGGAGTACTATAGTCCGTTAAAATTTTTATGCAGGTAATTTCCTGGGAGGTGTTCACTTTCCTTTGTGCTTGTTACTTCAACTACCACATATGTGTATCTCACCAAGAGAAATTCACGCTGGCCTTGTACAATGCGGTACTAAATTAAAGATCATGATATGGACACAAGAGACAGAAGCAGAATGAGGGGGGGGGGGAATTATGTTCTCTGAACCTTGTAGGAACTTGGTTAGGCAAATTAGAACTGATAGGCCAACAGTTTCACATCTGGAAATCGTGGCTTCTCTTTTTTATGTAATGGCCTATGGCTAAATACAATAAAATCTTCTCTCTCTCATTTATTCAAGCCAGTTATCCGAAAACAGGCACATGAGGTGACTATTTCATCCCTAGAAATCTTTGCCTTGATAAGGATTGTAGGAAACTAAAACAAGTACTTAGGCAGAAACAATGTGAGTTTTGTAATCAAAATACTAGAGCCAATTTGGACAAGCTGCTACAGTTAAAGAAGGATTCCAAAAATGTAATTGCAAGAAAGAGAAAAGAGGGCACAATTAATGGCTGGGGGATCTCGGGTAAGGCTGTGAATGCACCTGACTTGTGCGTTGTTATTTTATTTTTTTTATTTTTTTTAAAAAAGGAGAGGGCTGGGTTACTTTGGTCAGTTCTGGAGAACAGAGGACTTCCTGGGCATCTCCTGTCATGCAGGGGTGAGAGAAGCTGTGTTTGCTGCAATCCCCTCTTCTTCAAAAACGCAAGAGTCTTGTCTTCCATCGCATCTTGCCACCCTGGGGCCCGCAATGTTCCCTCTAAGCTGAGTTAGTGTGAGCTAGCTCACAGTTTTTTATCCTCCGGCTCACACCTTTTTTTGTCTTAGCCCAGGAAGGAGGGCTCAGAGCAAATTCATGCAGTAGCCAAATCTCTCACTCACAACTTTAATGCCAGTGGCTCACAAAGTAGAATTTTTGCTCACAAGACTCCACAGCTTAGAGGGAGGATGGCTCCAGAGCAAAGTAGTTTATGCGGCAGCCAAATCGCTCGCTCACAACTTTAATGCCTGTCACTCACAAAGTAGAATGTTTGCTCACCAGACTCCACAGCATAGAGGGAGCATTGCTTGGGGGCGACCCTGCCTACACCCAGGCATGCCGCTTGGAGTGCCCCACCAGCTTTCTCACACACACAAAGACAAAGTGCGCACAGCCAGTAGATGCTCCCCAAGCAGGTTGGGGACTTTTGACATAGGCTCTACTGTGAAGTATCTGTCAAGTTTAACAGCCCCACACCATTGCAGAGCATACATGCTTGCACGCTTTAATGTTCTGCCATCAGAGGTGCTTTTAGGGAGGTACCGCCAGATACCCTATGTAGACAGACTTTGTCCTTGCTCACTAAAAGATATAGAATCCACTATGCACACCATACTTCATTGCCCCCTCTATAGGGATATCCGATCTCGTTTTATTACTCCATTTCTAGAGGGTAAGAGCTGGCACTCTGATGACTCAGTTGTTCACTTTCTTCTGTTTAATTCTAATTGCGAAATAACGGAGGCTGTTGCAAAAATTTTATATTATGCAATCAGAAGACGAGGCTTGAACAGCCAAGCGTAAGTGACTGATGCATCTTAGTCTTTTCCCGTATTTCCATGAGGCTTTGTGCTTTCATGCCAATAAAGGTTTTGTGTGTGTGTGTGACAAAGTGCGCTCACACTATCCACCTTCTGCGTCTCTCCCTCTCCCACCCCAGGAGCAGTTCAAAGCCCGGAAAGGCCTGATCCTCAAAATGCTGGCAGACCTGCTGGACGAGGTGGACACGTACCACGAGACCACGGCTTCCCTAGACCCGGACGATCCCCTCGCAAGCGAGCTGGAGGAAGAGCACTCGATACTCGAGCAGCTATCCCAGACCACCCAGCGAGACCGCAAAGCCCCCTGCAAGAACTTCTTCTGGAAAACCTTCACCGCTTGCTAGCAACGCCTTCAGCCCCTTCCCTTCGCCGGCCCCTTTTTTGCCTCTGGATGTGGGGGGCGGCCCTCCGACTCGCCTCCCATGCAGGGGTTGCCAACTGACCAGAGAAATAATCCCCAGCCTGGTTTGCTCCTATGCCTTTAACAGAAGTTTGCTATGCAGACATCAGCAGGAGATGTTTTCCCCAGCGTGGAGCGAACCGTGACCACCTGCTTATTGCTGCAGATCAAACTGCCATTAAAGGGACAGCGACGGGGCAGGGGGGGAGGCGGTTTAAGAGCTGGTAACTGTCCCCCTCGTTCTTTGCCCCCCCTTTCTCTGATTTCTTTAGAATATAACACCTCTGCCCGCCAGTGTAAAACAGCATCTGCCTAGCCGTGTTTCCTTTCTCTCATCCAATGGTTCAGATGTTGGTTGTATTCTGGTTCCATTTGCAAATAAAGCATGGCCCTAGAGGCACCTCGGAACACGGCCTCCTTGCATCGTCTCAGTGTGTGGCGAAAGATCTGGAAAGGGTGGGGTGGGGTGAGGCTCCCTGGCTATTATCTGGGACAGGGCTTCAAATCTGTACACGCAGACGGTCAGCATCACGGAACTGCCAGTGGCCACCCAGAGGCCAGCTAGTCCAGCCCCCTGTTGAACGTACATGAAAACACGGAACTGCCTTGTACTGAGTCAGACCCTCGGGTCCATCAAGGTCAGTGTTGTCTACTCAGACTGGCAGCGGCTCTCCGGGATCTCAGGCAGAGATCTTTCAGATCGCCTCCTGCTTGGTCCTGTTAACTGGAGATGCCAGGGATTGAAAGCAGATGTTCTACCATTGAGCCATGCCCCCTCCCCTGTTCATTGCAAGAGAGTCAAAGCCAGAGCATCCCTCACAGGTAGCTGTCCAACCTTGACTTGAAGGCCTTCAGTAAGAGCCCAACCACCACTCTGGGGTAATTGGTTCCACTGGCCTCCATCATGTTGAGGCATATATGGAAGAAGGAGGAGGAAGAGGAGGAGGAGGAGGAGATTGGATTTATACCCCACCCTTCACTACCTGAAGGAGTCCCAGAGTGGCTTACAATCTCCTTTCCCTCCCCCTCCCCACAACAGGCACCCTGTGAGGTCGGTGGGGCTGAGAGAGCTCTCTCGAGAATTGCCCTTGAGAAAACAGCTCTGAAATAACTTGTAATTGACCCAAGGTCACCCCTAGCAGATGCATGGGGAGGAGGGGGGAATCAAACCCAGTTCTCCCAGATCAGAGTCCATGCTCCTAACCACTACCCCCAAACTAGTTCTCCACGTGCAGCCACCACTGATCTAGCATCGCTGTAGCACTTTAAAAAAATTCCATAGACTCACATGAAGCTGCCCGATTCTTTTGGTCCTTCTGGCTCAATCCTGTTTGCTTCGGCAGGCAGCAGGTCCCCCAGAGCCAAAGCAGAGGTCTTTCCCTGGCCCTGTTCCCTGTAGCCGAGGTCCTTGTCTTTGGAGAGTCCAAGGACATAACCTAGGAACATCTGCAAACAAGCAGTTGCTGCATGCTTGAGTCACAATAGCTCCTTCCTAACAGTTCAACCATTCCATGGAGATAGAGAGACCAGACGTAAAAGAAGGCTCTGAAAGCATCTTGCTGAGAGGAAAAGGGGGGTGGCTATCAGGCAATCTTGATATGCAGAGGAGGAAGAAGAAGAAGAGAAGGCTCTTATACCCCTCTTTTCTCTACCGTAAGTGGCTTACAATCGCCTTGCCTTTCCTCTCCCCGCAACAGGCACCTTGTGAGGCAGGTGGGGCTGAGAGAGCTCTGAGAGAACTGGGACTGGCTCCAGGTCACCCAGCAAGCTTCATGTGGTGGAGCAGGGAATCAAACCTGGTTCTCCAGCTTAGCATCCACTGCTCTTAACCACTATACCACGGGTCTCAAGAAGAGGAGAAGGAAAGCTGCAGCTGTTGGAATTGCCTCTTCTTCATGATGTTTCACAGCAAATGCCTCTCTCTCTCTCTCTCTCTCTCCCTCCCTCCCTCCCTCTCATTCTCTTTCTCTCTCTCTCATTCTCTCTCTCTGGCATTAACTTATTAAGGCATAAGGAACAGCAAAGGCATAAAAACCACAGGAAAAAACCACAGGGACTGGGCAATTCATACATTTAATTTATAAATATAAATTAATAAGAAGGCCCAGACTTGACTTTGCCAGCTTCTAAGTGGGGCCTGGATTTCTCCCAGAATTACAGCTTAGCTCCAAAAAACAGCAAGAGCGCAGGAGCACCTGAAAGACGAACAAAATTTGGGGCAGGGTCTTTCCTGGGCCACTGCTCACTTCTTCAGATACAGCTCCAGACGACCCAGACCACCTTCCCCTGGAGGAGACGGCAGCGCAGAGGTGAGGTTCTAGGGCATTACATCCCTGCGGAGTTCCCTTCCCAAACTCCACTCCCAAATCTCCAGGAATTTCCCAAGCCAGAGTTGGCAAGCCTAGCTCAAGCAGTCAACAGAAGCCATAGCTAGGGTTGCCAGTCTTCAGGTGGGACCTGGAGTTCTCTCTGAATTACAGCTGGTACCCAGACTTACAGAGACCATTTCCCCGGAGAATGTGGCTGCTTTGGGGGGGGTGGACTCTATGGTATCACTTCCCCACTGAGATCCCTCCATTTCCCTGGCGCCACCCCCAAATCTCCAGGAATTTCCCAACCCAGAGTTGGCAGCCCTAACAGAGCCAGTTTGGCATAGTGGTTAGGAGCGTGGACTCTAATCTGGGAGAACCAGGTTTGATTCCCCACTCCTCCACATGCAGCTGCTGGTATAACTTTGGGTCAGTCACAAGTTCTTGCACGAGCTGTTCTTGAAAGAGCAGTCCTCGAGAGAGAGCTCTCTCAGCCCCACCTCCCTCCCAGGGTGTCTGTTGTGGGGAGGGGAAGGGAAAGGAGATTGTAAACCACTCTGAGACTCCTTTGGGTAGTGAAGGGCAGGGTATAAATCCAATCTCCTCCTCCTCTTCCTCTTCCTCTTCCTCTTCTTCTTCGCTAGGCTAAGAAAACCAGGAGCCGGTCTCTGTGCCTTTGTTTAGGCAAGGGGACCAAACCTTCTCCAGGCTGTATGTCAGACCCTGCTTCAAGTTTCTCAGTTCCACCGACTGAGTGCAGAGATGCTGGCTTCAAAGAAGCAAACACCCAGTCTGCCTTCTGGCACGGCCATTTCGTGGCCCAGCCCCTACCCATCAGTGACTTCTACAAACTCTCTCCCTCCCTACCGTCCATAATAACTCGCATCCATCTTCTTGAAGCATTTTGAAACCACCAAGTAGCCAAGGCAATTTCTCTTCCAACGCTCACACATGCCACATATTTAATAGAAAAATACTGTTGAAAGAAAAAAGAGCTAGAATTTGATCTGCTCCAGTGATGGTCAATGCAGCCGTCTTGCTGAAACGAAGTGGATCTGGGGCCAGTTACATGGGAGACCTTCCGGGAAACCCTAGGGAGGAGGAGGAGTTCTACAAAACTCAAGTTCTACAAAAGAAGGAAGGAGGGTAACAAGCTGACCCATATTGCCATTTTTGTCTCCCTTTCCCCTCCAGTGGTAGTGGGTTACAGAGACAGGGGGAAAGGGAGAAGAAGAGGGAGAAGGAGAAGAGGAAGAGGAGGAGACTGGATTTATACCCTGCCCTTCACTCGGAGTCTCAGAGCAGCTTACAAGCTCCTTTCCCTTCCCCTCCCCACAACAGACACCCGGTGAGGTAGATGGGGCTGAGAGAGCTCTGACAGAAACGGCTCTTTCTCAAGAACAGCTCTTATCAGAACTACGGTTTGCCCAAGGTCATCCAGCCAGGTGCAAGAGGAGGAGTGGGGAATCAAACCTGGTTCTCCCAAATTTGAGTCCACGCACTTAGCCACTACACCATGGCCAGAAGGAATGTGTAACGATGGGCCATATCCTTCTGTATTCAGGTCAGAATTCACCCATCTCCTTGAGCATATCTTAGAAGAACCTCTTATGTCTTTGAGATCAAATACTATACCTCTGCTGGTGAAAATTCTCCCATGAGCCCAAAGAGGCATTCAGAGTGATGGGTAGATTAGGTTGCCAACCTCCAGGTGGGGCCTGGAGTTCTCCAAGGCCAGAGGTTGGGTCCCCTGGAGAAAGGGTCAACTTTAGTGGACTCTGTGGCATTGTACGCTGCCGAGGTCCATGCCTTCCCCACGCCACGCTCCCCAGGTTCTGTCTCAAATCGCTAGACATTTCACAAGCTGGATTTCAGCTCCCTCTCTAACGAAGGAACTGTTAACCAAAATTCGTCTTGAGTGAGGCCCTGAGAGTAGAGAGTACTCATTTGCTGGTATAGAGTAGGGGTCAAAAGAATGAGCAGAGGTCTGTGCAGTTCCTGGTTGAAACTTGATTGAGTTGCCAACCAAATGCAAACCAAAGAGAGAAATCATGGGGTGGAGGTTGAAAGGAAACAAACAACCATGATGTATTGTGCCAAAAAAAGAAGTCTTCACAGACTTGAAAATTCTTTTTCCAGTATTCAGTTTACTTGAAGCAATTCAAACGCTTCAATTCAAACATTTTAATTGCTTCAAGTAAACGAAATATTGGGGAAAGAATGATCAAGTCTATGAAGACTCTTTTTTTGGCACAATACATCACGGTTGTTTGTTTCCTTTCAACCTCCAGGTGATGGCTGGAGATCTCCTGCTGTTACAACTGATCTCCAGGTGACAGAGATCAATTCACCTGGATGAAATGGCTGCTTCTATGGCATTATACCCATAGAAGTCCCTCCCCTCCCCAAACTCCACCCTACAAATCTCAAGGTATTTCCCAACCTGGAGCAGGCACCCCTGTCTCCACCACAAACTCACTCCTTTGCATATTAGGCAACACACCCCTAATGTAGCCAATCCTCCAAGAGCTTACAGAGCTCTTCTTACAGGGGCTACTGTAAGCTCTTGGAGGATTGGCTGCATTAGGGGTGTGTCACCTAATATGCAAAGGAGTTCCTGCAACAAAAAGAGCCC